GTTGCTTTGCAACGATTTGTATTGTGAAAAGCGCTATACAAATAAACTTGAATTGAATTTAACTGAATTGATTTGCTGCTCAAGTAACATTTCTTATTATTATCAATGTTGAAAACAGTTGTGCTACTTAATATTTTTTGTGAAAAATGATTCTACGATGAATATAAAGTTCAAAAGAATGGCATTTATTTAAAATAAAATATTTTGTAACATTATAAATATCTTTACTGTCACTTTTAATCAACTGCTGAGTAAAAATATTCATTTTACTGACCCCAAACTTTTGAATGCTACCATAATTGTTATACAAATCTAATAAACCCAAAATATTAGTGAGCTCAAACATATAGACACAATGGCCTCGCTTTTTTTCCATAGAGACTTAAGTGATATCTGTCAGGCAGTATAGGGACAATTACTTACAATCTTAAAAGACATTTACAGAAACATAAAAAATCTAAGACATGACGCAATGGCTTAAGGAGTCTGTCTGACGCAAGTATTTGTAAGATCCCATCATGTCTGCTGGTTCTGAGAAGTAAGCCAGCAATATTTTTAACTGAGGCAGAATGACAAAACCCTGTGACTCTTGAGGTAATGCCAAAGATATCATAAAACCACAGCAATGTTATCAGCAGACAGTGACTCAAAGTAAAGGGATGCTGAGCTGATATCATTCAAGCTTATACCTTGGCGATACTCATGACTTGAACGGACTCAGCGCTGGAGCCGCGGTTATGCTCTCCAAGAATAACATAGTGATATCCAGCCCTAGGGTAGGAGGAATAAACAGGAAAAGTTGAAAATAGAAGCACGTTAAAGAATCAGGCAGAGTATGTTAATGAAGTAAAACCGTATCAAACGTTCTTACCTGACACCGCAGTGGGCAGCAGTGACCACCCAGTACTGGTTGATCAGGGATCCGCCGCAGAAATGGAAGCCATTGGATTGCTGGTTCATGCATTATTAAATATAAATTACATAACTTTGGGTATGATGAACACATTGTTGGTAATATTAAATTATCTATGCATCTCAACTTATACATATTAAATTATAAAGAACCTTAAAAAGTATAATTAAAACTAATAACAGTTACCTGGAGAGAGACCTGCCAGGGCCAGGAACCAGACACTGCATTCTCTCCATTAACAATTTTGTTGTAGCCGCTGATTACTGGCTTAATGGCAGGCACTCCACAACCTATATAAGTACATGCAAAAACATGCAATTATGGGTTATTAATCAGTTCTTGATCACTTTTTAGTTTGATTATAATAATATATTCTGAACCTCAGAAAGTCCTCTGATTTAATATATATACAGTGTATTATGCATACATCTTGGAAGTTGCTCTTTGTTCTTTGCAGATGTTCTCAGCTCATTGTTTAATCCAGTGTTTGCCATCCCTTTTCCTGGAGGCATACCAACAGTATTTTCCAACTTTTCCTAATTCAATACACACCTGATTCAACTCAGCTCATTAGTAGAGACTCCAAGACCAGAAATAGATGGGTCAGATAAAACAGACATGCCACATGTGTACTGTTGGTGTACCTCCAGGAACAGGGTTGGGAAACACTGACTTAATGATCTCTTTGTTTTTGGGTGAAACACTCTGCATGGCTACATAATCTGGTTTGACTACCTCAAGGTAAGAATATTAAATTCAATTCCTTCAGTGACATAACCATACCTGAAAGGGATAGTCTTAATTCCATAAACAAGTGTGACATGTAGATTGGCATGCAAGTAAATGCAGTTAACGGTTGTTACCTACCTGGTTTCTGTCCAACCAGGCTATGACCTCATTGCATTTGTCAATAATAGTTTTTTTGTCCTCTGCACTGATCTTGTCCTTCAGCTTGTCATCCTCCACAGTGCTCTTCATGTTAAAGGCCAGTGACTCCAAAGTGTTCTTGGCAGTGACCTTCTCCTTCTGGGCTTCGTCCTCTGATCTGTATTGGTCAGCTTCCTGTACCATACGTTCAATTTCTTCCTTGCTCAAACGACCTAAAAGTAAAGATTAGTGAGAAACTCACTGTGAAAACCGAGACCATTTTTGATCTTCAGAATCAAGTCGATAAGTATAAAGTCAACTCTTTATTCAAAGTCAGGGCAAGTTATTTTACCTTTGTCATTGGTGATAGTGATCTTGTTCTCTTTGCCAGTGCTTTTGTCCACTGCGGACACATTGAGAATGCCATTGGCATCAATGTCGAATGTAACTTCAATTTGTGGCACACCACGAGGAGCAGGAGGGATGCCAGTCAACTCAAATTTGCCAAGAAGGTTGTTATCCTTCGTCATTGCTCTCTCTCCCTCATATACCTAAGGGTAAAAAAAAACGGGATCATTAAATCAGCCTCCAATTAACTGAAATGCCTTAAGAATTTCTGGGTGAATTTCTATCAACATCTCAGTTGTTTCAAAGACATTCCTGAATAGTCCAGCATTGGTCGTTACCCCATCATATGTGGTGTTTTGGACACTGGTTTTTTGGTACCCCTACCAGGCTTAACAAGCTTTCCTTGCAAACCTTCAACAAGCCTTTCTTGGTCAAGCAGTTCCATTCATTCATTATTATTTTGTGCTGGTGAACAACATGACTATAATGGTCCACCAGCTAGACGTGCACCAACCCAGCTTAGAAATGGACATTCAAGCTGGTCTGAGAAGCAGGGGAAGAAGACCAGGAAAGTATGGGTCTACAACAACAACTTTCTTTTACCTGGATCAGTACACCAGGCTGGTTGTCCGAGTAGGTGGTGAAAGTCTGGGTTTGCTTGGTGGGAATCGTGGTGTTCCTCTTAATTAACACCGTCATGACACCACCAGCTGTCTCAATGCCCAGAGAGAGAGGAGTGACATCCAGCAGCAAAAGGTCTTGGACGTTCTCTGATTTATCACCTGCTAAGATGGCTGCCTGGACAGCTGGTGAAATTTGGGGAAAGATTTAGTATGTCATAAAGCAATTACTAATCCATGTAGAGTGGAAATTAAACCTCTTACCTGCTCCATAAGCTACTGCTTCATCAGGGTTGATGCTTTTGTTAAGATCCCGGCCGTTAAATAAGTCCTGAAGCAGCTTTTGGATTTTGGGAATGCGAGTGGAGCCACCAACCAGCACAATGTCATGGATCTGTGCCTTGTCCATCTTGGCATCCCGCAGAGACTTTTCCACCGGCTCCAGTGTACCACGGAAAAGGTCAGCATTAAGCTCCTCAAAACGTGCTCTGGTGATGGAAGTGTAGAAGTCGGCACCTTCATACAGAGAGTCGATCTCAATGCTGGCCTGCGTACTGGAGGAAAGGGTGCGCTTGGCGCGCTCACATGCTGTCCGCAGGCGACGGACTGCACGTTTATTGCCAGTGATGTCTTTCTTGAACTTGCGTTTGAACTCTGCAATGAAGTGGTTGACCATTCGGTTGTCGAAGTCTTCACCACCCAGATGGGTGTCACCGGCAGTAGCCTTGACTTCAAAAATGCCATCCTCAATTGTCAGAATGGACACGTCAAAGGTGCCACCACCCAAATCGAAGATGAGGACATTGCGCTCAGCACCAACCTGTAGTGAATTGTGACCATAAAGCAGCAGTTTAACCCTTTAAACCTTACCATGCTGAAAGTTAATCTGAGATGCTGGACAACACAAAACTAGATGCAACTTCATTGAACCATCATTACAAGCCAGTTTAGCATGTTTACCAACCTCATATATTTAACTATTCCTATATAAACCACTGAACTAGGTAAAATATAGCATAGGATATCTCTAAACCTTTTTGTCCAATCCATATGCGATGGCAGCGGCCGTTGGCTCATTGATAATGCGGAGGACGTTAAGGCCAGCAATGGTTCCAGCGTCCTTGGTGGCTTGGCGCTGAGAGTCATTAAAGTAAGCAGGCACTGTAATGACTGCATTCGACACTGGCTGAAACAACAAGATCAAATCATCATTAGCATGATCCTGTTTAGCATATATAAAGTGTTCAAACAAGTTTAGTGGAGTATTTTTTTGTGATTCTTAATGAAAGAGTCTTTGCATTAATTATGACTACTGTTCTTTTGTTCAAAAATCATTTTGCTCATGAAGAAACAATACATGCTTTCAGGAACATTTCTTGTAAAAGATGCAAGTTTGGAAGCAGTACAGTTAAACAAAAAGACTATTGCTGACACTAACGATTGCAATCAAGTTCACATACTTCCTGTAACCGTTGTTATCTCCAAATATCTCTCGTACAAAGTGGAGGTATAATTCTACACATAACATGCACAAAACAAACTTCAATCTGTATTAGAGATTTTTGAACATGAAACGTGTGTTACAGAATCAGATATTAATCTGTGGTGAATTTCAAAAACCACATTTTACTGCAGGCATCACTAAAAGATAAGATGTGTGAAGCTGTGTTTGCAGAACTTTGAACTTGTGCTCCAGAGAAATGTTAGTGTTCACCACAGTACGTGTTTTGGTTTGGCAAGTGTTAGACTACCACAGTATGTGATAAAGGCTTTATATCCATTATAAATTATGCATAACTCTCATCAGTTTTATATATATATATTTAGACCGCCGTGTTTTTGTTTGCACTACAACTTTATTTATTTATATATATATATATATAGTTTCAAAACAAAGGATGTTACTTAATAAACAGAGTACACCATTTCAGTATTTCCAGTATTCTATCACATCCTCATTCTGAACTCACAATTCACACTTTTTCTTGCAGAGTTAATGACTATGTGACCTAAAGGAAGATATGCGGTCTATTTCCTGTATGCTTGAATGCACGTTTTATGTAAAACAAACGGGCTGGAAGGGTCCTAAAAATAAATGTAAAGGATTTAAAAGTGCTTATTTACAGTGCTTTTGCATAGTTTTATTCACCTTGCCCAGGTAAGCCTCAGAGATCTCCTTCATCTTAGTGAGGACCATAGAGGACACCTCTTCAGGGAAGAAGGACTTTATCTCTCCTTTGTACTCCACTTCCATTTTGGGCTTACTACCATCGTTGATTACCTTAAAGGGCCAGTACTTCATGTCAGACTGAACCACAGGGTCATCAAAGCGTCGACCAATCAAGCGCTTGGCATCTGTTGAACCAATAAGATGCATGCAAAAGACAAAATGACGACAAAAAGAAGCATTGCTTTAAAAACTGCTGTTGGTTACTGCTAACAAAGACTTTACAGTATGTACAGTACGTCTCACTTGACTTTTAGTATTACAATTAAATTAACTACACTGCCATCTAATGGCGAACAGTATCATAAACAAGTGTTAATGTCAATCTTTCATTATTTTCCCCAGGAACAAATATGAGCTGCCTTACCAAACACTGTGTTGTTGGGGTTCATGGCTACTTGGTTCTTGGCTGCATCTCCGATCAGTCTTTCGGTGTCTGTGAAAGCGACATAGCTGGGGGTTGTTCTGTTCCCCTGGTCATTGGCGATGATCTCCACCTTACCATGCTGGAAGATTCCCACACAGGAGTAGGTGGTGCCCAAATCAATACCCACTGCTGGACCTTTTGACATCTTGCCTGAACCAGATGACCAACGGGGATTTTAGTTGTAGTATCAGTATTCACATTCTAATATCATATTCTGATAGTATCCGAATGAATCATTTTTAACAGTTTTATTGATAATGACACAAAAAGAACGTTTACCTTCTTGTATAGGCCTATGTGAACTTACAAATCACACCTTCAATGTGTGTGTTATCTTTTTTATAAACAGTCCTACAGTATCAAGTCTGCTAAGAATTGCATCCAACAATGCAATTACACGACTGCATTCAAAGGTAATTTAAATTATTTAAAGTATTGTTTGCATAAATTATGCAACTTTTTAACGAAACATACATTTTCAAGTAAGAAACAGTTATTTTAAGCTTAACAGTTGGACGATGGAACTACAAATGGACTTTTCACACTTTAAATAGTTAACCCATTTAAAGAAATCCTAGGTTGTCTCGTTTTAAATTGCTCATAATTTAACACTTATTAACAGTGTTGGGGGTAACGCATTACAAGTAACGCGAGTTACGTAATTAGATTACTTTTTTCAAGTAACTAGTAAAGTAACGCATTACTTTTTAATTTACAAGAGAATATCTGAGTAACTTTTTCAAATAAGTAACGCAAGTTACTTTTTTTCCAATTTAGGGGGCAAAATTAGTCTGTAGTTCTCTGAATAAGGGGCCACACATAAATATAGACACATATAAATTGTGCAGTTTTTTTATTACAAAACTAAAGCTTTAATTATAATAAATAATACTAAGTAAATATAATTCATTAATTGTCCAGCATCCTGGGATGCACCTAATGAAGTTTTTACGATATATTATTTAATTGCAAATATTTTTTTATTTCCCATACAAGCATCTAATGAAGTTTTTACGATATATTATTTAATTGCCAATCATTTTTTATCTCCCATATGACCTTTGTGTTATCTCATATAGTTTTGATTGCTTTACCATTATTCTAAAATGTGAAAAGGCAATAATAAAGAACCAGTAGGTGTGTCTAAACTTTAAATGGTGTCCTCCATGCATAAACGTTTTTCTCCTTCTAGCACAGGGGTTTTCAAATGCTTCCTGGCACTTCCCCAGAAAACTTTGGATATCTTCTTTATCCATTCGGATGTCAAGTTTCTAATAATAAACTTAAGTCACTGAAATAAAATGTTTTTCTTCTGGGAATTCCTTCCTGGCGCCACACTTATCACATTGTAAGTTTAGTGTGGGATTTGGTCTAGAACACACAATAGCTCTTATTTGTAACAGTTTGCACATCAGAACAAATGAAAAAAAAAAACATTAATGCAGGACTTCCAAAACAGTCAAAATCTGAAACAGACAGAAGCAGACACAACAGAACGCCCAGCCAGGCTGCTTGCAGTCAAGCTTCAAAGAAAACTTTTACCTTCTTGTAAAAGTTGTACTTGAGAGGTAATGGATAGTAATGTGTGTCCTGTCCCTCAGCACGGGGTCTGCCCTCGGCCAAAGCCCTGCTAGAGCTCGTTCTGCTGCCTTTTGCACTGCTGGACTCAAGAGGCAGAAGCCCTGGACTCCTGTGTGTATATAGCCACGGCGGCCGGAGAGATTCCAGCATGAAGTCACCTGACCTCACAGCGCAGAGAAAGTTCCAGGCTGCAGATCTCATGTGTTCCAGCCTCGCCAGCTGAACGTCTGCCATTCAGAGCAAGCACAGCGAGGTAACAACCAACTGCTAACACCAGGGCAGTGTAACACAGAAGACACTTGTTTTCATTCATGGGTTATTCAGTCTTCATTAAGTACGACACAAACTCAATAAGTGCAGTGTCCTCACCCTTTTTTTTTTTTTTTTGCAGATTTAAAACTTTTAAGATCTTTTTGTGGTGCCTTTTGCCTCAAAATGCCCGGTAGTGCTGTAGCATGCTAGATAAACACATGCCCTCATGAGATAAGTTCACCAGACAGTGTTAAGCACTGAAACACTTATGACTAAGACATTCTTTAATCCAATCCAAGTTAATCCAAAACAGTGCTCTCAGTGTACGTGCATCTAACATTGTATATTATATTAGGCACTTAGCATAAAAATATTTAAATGGAGATTCTTAACCTTCAGAAAATGTTGGTAGGCAACCTTAGGGGGATGCATTAATTATTTATTTATTTAATTATTAATTATTATTAATCTGATTTGTATGATTGTAACAATGTATTTATTATACATCAAAGTTTATTACAATTATTGGGTGACAGCCAGGGTTGTAATTTAATTGGCAATTTTATCCTCAGTTAATTTATATAACTACATAAGTATTTCTTATAAATGTAAACATATTTCTTTGAGAATTTCTAACGATAATTGTAAAATTGATCAAATTGATACAAATTTCAATTGAAGAGCAAAAGAGGTAGCTTAAATGAATTTATATAACTAAATAAATTAAATATTGTATATTTCCTAATTAAAGAAAAATATTTATTTGAATTTTTTTTTAAATATTAACTTGTGTATGATTAAAAAAAACATCAAAATTGATTAGAAATATTGGCCAACACGGTTGCATATTTAGTCGAAATTAATTTATATATCTATATAAATAAAAAAAAATAATATTATTATATATCTATATAAATTAATTACACGTTTTATGTTTTCTATTAAATAGAGAAAAATATTTATTTGAGAATTTTCTATTTTTACAATAACCTGAGTAACAAGATCAATCCTAAACTTGGCAAATGCAGTCAAAAACTACATATTTGTAAAAATTAAATGGAATAAGACTATCTACTTGTCTTCCCATCATGCTTTAGAAAAGGCCCAAAAGATGTCAGTCACTGTGTCACAATTTTATAGAAAAAACAAATGATCAATAAATGAATAAATTATATGGAAACAGGTTTTCTCGGCTAATACTAGGATTTTAGTTTTGTAATCAATTTGAGGAAAGAGCCATGCATCATAGCTCAGCTTGAACAGTAAAAGTAATTATTTAGACAAAACGGTACAAAAAGTCATATTCACATTTAAATCACCACACTTTATTTCACAAACACATTTAATAGAGCAGTAGATTCTATAGCAGTAGACTAGGCTAGCATGCATGAGTCTATTTTTTATGAAGTGACTCACTAGAAACTGACAGCTTAAATGTCACATAGTAATCTTAAAATAAAACTCCCTCTCTCTCTCACACACCCAACAGTTCATGAATGACATGAACACAAACCTCATTCAAATGTGCAGATGGATTCATTCATTCTGTTTAACATTGCAGTGTCTATTCATTATTGCTACATGAATTAAAACATAATAAACATGCTGTGCAAAACTCAAAATATAATCCAAACAATAGTGGACAGCATCAAAATTACAGTACCCGTTCCCCAAAAAGTGTTGGTCAGTCATTTCATATTCTTAAAAAAACAACTTGAACAGCACTCCCTCACTAATTGTGTCATAGTGTCAGTTTTTAATAAATAATAACCAAATGTGCAATATCCCATACTCTTATATATTGTGCCTCTTACATAATAAAACCAATGCAGTGTGGTCTCAAAGTGAAAGGTGTCCTGGTTCAACGTGCTATTTCTGATCAGTACATACTTGAGCACTCTACGATTGGTAAGACAACACCACAGCGGGTCTTCTAGATCTTCTCAGAACTGAGACTGTTTCTATTATTATATTGAGCTCTAATGTGACCCATACGCAGGCACCAGATGTTTCTGAGACTGAAAAATACTCACAAGTCATATCTCGCTTAGATCAGCAGTAAGGATTTCTGCTTTCTGTTTTCTCAGCTGTAGCGCACTATAAAATCCTGTTCAAAAAGAAGTAAATTTTGACATTGCATCCTTCACCTTAACATATAAAGCATCTCTGTAACTCGGTTTAAAGTTAAAATGCCTTAATTATAGGTTTGTTTCTTACAAACACACAGTTTTCACTTCACAAAATGTTAATTGATTGAGTGGAGCGGTGTGGATTACTTGTGGATTGTTGTGATGTTTTTATCAGCAGTTTGGACTCTCATTCTGACGGCACCCATTCACAGCAGAGGATCCATTGGTGAGCAAGTGTAATGTTAAATTTCCCCAAATCTGTTGTGATGGAGAAACAATCTTATCTACATCTTGAATGCCATGAGGGTGAGTACATTTTAAATGTCCATTTTTGGGTGAACTATTCCTTTAATCAAGTCTTCAGTACTATCGAATATCTGTAAATTCCCAAATGCTACTTAGTTTACAGGGTAAAATACATAAAATTCTTAATTGATTATCTTAGAGTGATTCAAATGAGTGTTTTGAGCTGTTCTGGCATAAATTCCGGCACCATAATAAGAAGCCTAATAAATTAAGATCAAATACTGAAGGAACTATCTGGAAGGAGTCCATCTGGTTCCTGTACAAAATCCCGGTTAAAAGCAGCATCATTCTTTAGAATAAATTGAAAGTCCCACTGGAACATAATGTCAAGAGTTTTTCACAACAGTTTGCTGGAAAATTCCATGCAGGCCTTTTGGTCTCAGGAGAAAAGGTTACGGAGTTGATATAAAAAGTGGTCCTCTTTGCTCTTGCGCATGCGACAGCGACCGCTCAAATAGTCCCAGGCTGAGCGTTTACAGTAGTTGTAAAAATGTTCCTCAGTTTTTTTCAGGGTGCTGTTCAGGTCCATCTTGCCCTGCAGACTGACCAGGGACAGCATGATTACATTCTTGTGCTCCATGACTGAAAACAGTAGCCCCCAAAACATATTACACTTAAATGTGACATTGAAGTCATAGTGTTAGATAAAAAAATATATATAGAAAATAAACTTGCATTAATTTTAAAGACAGTACAAACACATTTTTCCATACTAAACAAAACAAAATGCAATAACATATCAAGACAATCAACCACAGCCTCGAGAATACTGTTATTTTAGTATCACTGATATACTATTAGAGTTTTTGTTAATATTTTGTATTTGAAGTTTTCATTTTAAAGGTGCTGTATGTAAGACTTTGACTCTACTAAAGCATAAAAATACCATAATATGTTTGCAGATATTTAAGAAACATGCTAAGTTAACATACTTAACTGAATACTGAAAAACAATGCTACAGTCAGTTATTCTCCTCCGGGCCGGAATGTCGGTCTCTGTTTTGGTTTGTGAAACCACTGCCAGTTTACCAAATTGTATTTCGGCACCCCGGGTTGCCAGTTGGCAGAAACACAGTGTATTTCATTTCATTCATCGTCAAGTGCGCTCGTTCCTGTTGGTGTTGTCAATCTGGCAACCTGCGTGTGCATCAAGTCTGAGGAGGAGGGGCCCGGTGAAAAAAACCCTCTCCAATATTTTGAATTTGGACTGCAATACCTAGTTCAACCACTCGGTGTCAATCCTACATACAGCACCTTTAATTAAAGTTTGTGTTTTTGTCATTAGTTTTAGTATTTAATTTAGCTAAACCTAAACAAAAATAATAAATATAGCCATGCCAGATAGCAATTATTTTTTTATACTGTATTTCAGTTCATGTTTCTTCCAAGTAATTAAAAAAATGTCTGTTATGGTTTTAGTTTTCATTAACAATAATAACCCTGCCCGTAGAGATCAATTGAATCTACATTACAATGAACCATACCAATCAACCAATCTACACCACATCCACACCTGCTGGTAAACTGTATGAGCTGAACCTCGTTCCTGCAGCTGAGTAAAGCTTCTCTGTTCTCCAGCAAGATGGTGGCACACATGAAGAGTTCAAAAGTGAAGTCTGTGTTTATGGCCTGGAGCTCCGTCACTGCAGGTTCATCCTCTGGAGATCACAGACATAAATCAAAATCATTTGAAATATATTAGTGTTTATCTTTCACCATTTAGGCTTGATAAACGGTATCTGTAACGCAAGACATAGGGTTAAGGTTTCTCACCCAGGCTGTATTTGCGTGCCAGTCTCTCCTGATATCGAGCCCGATCCACCTGCTGTGAGATGAGCTCCAGGTGATCACAGCTGAGAATCTCAAACAGACGCAGAGCATCGCTGTGCTCAAACTCCCGCTGGAAAGCCAGCAGAAGCCACCTGAATGGAAGACAAAGAGAAAGATTAATGAAGTGACCGAAAGAGAAGAAAAAAAGAAAAAGAAAATGGAAACCCACCTGTGACAAAAAGTGATTTTTTCCATGTTGTCCGTGACCAGATGAGAGTGTAGCTGAGGATCCAGCTCTTTCAGTAAAGCGGCTTCCAACTCTGAGAAACACCACAACAGAAACAGCATTTGACCAGCATTACCAACTGTATAATTATTAGTGCTAATAACAGATCTAAACGGTTTGGAAACACATAGGAAACTCACCCATTTTGCGATACAGTCCATCAGCACAGAAGTCTTTGGAAAACTTCTCCATGTAGCAGGAGAAGCTCCAGTAGGTGTCCACTTCTGAGTGCAGCACCTCCAGAAAGCGACTGCACAAATCATTCATACCCTGAGCGTAACTTACTTCTGCAGAGACCAGAGAAACAAACACAGTGCTTCACAATTTAACCACTAGATGTCGCCTGACATCAGCAAACAAAAATCTGATCACAAATCAGCATAAATTTAAACCGGATAAAAGTGTTAAATAAACACTACAAAAAAGTTTGGGGTCTGTAAGATTTCACATGCCTTATTCTCACCAAGGCTGCATTTATTTGCTCAAAAATACAGTAAAAATTATGAAATATTATTACAATTTCAAATAACTGCTTTCTATTTTAATATATTGTACATTTGTATGTATTCCCGTGATGCAAAGCTGAATTTTCAGCAGCCATTACTCCAGTCTTCAGTGTCACGTGATCCTTCAGAAATCATTCAAATTTGCAACTCAAGAAACAGTTTTCATTATTTCCAATAATGAAAACTTTTGCGCTGCTTAATATTTTTGTGATCTCTTTGTCAAGGTTCTTTGATAACAAAAAGAACAGCATTTATTTGAAATAGAAATCTTTTGAAACTTTTATACATTTCTTTACTGTCACTGTAAACTATTTAATGTATCTTTGTTAAATTAAAGTATTAAAAATATATATTTTATTGACCCAATATTGTATTTACAACCACGTACCTGGGTGAAAAGCAGCATATGTGATTAGGATATCTCTCAAGACAAGCAGGTTACCCAAACCTTCATTCCTGTGATGAAACACAAGTGATTAGAAACCTTTCTGCAGGCAATCCTTTATTCTTCAAAGGACTCATTTAATTGAATAGAAGCATTTTAACAGAGTAGAAACAACTTTGATACAATTGGTATGCACTGTATGATTGTATCAAGGTTGTTTTTACTCTGTTAAAACACTCCCATTCAATTCAAATATCATTTTATATTTTAAAATTTGGTCTATCAGGAAAAGATGACTGGTGTGTAGAAAGTTTTTGTTTGTTGTTGCAGCTAATTTTATATTAGTTTATAACAAACACTTTTCTTTTAAATAAGAGAACCATTCTTTTATTAAAAAGTTTACAATGCTTAATATGCTATGACCTATATTTCGGGGGAAGTCGTGGCCTAATGGTTAGAGTCGAAATTGAATAGAAGCATTTTAACAGAGTAGAAACAACTTTGATACAATTGGTATGCACTGTATGATTGTATCAAGGTTGTTTTTACTCTGTTAAAACACTCCCATTCAATTCAAATCATTTTATATTTTAAAATTTGGTCTATCAGGAAAAGATGACTGGTGTGTAGAAAGTTTTTGTTTGTTGTTGCAGCTAATTTTATATTAGTTTATAACAAACATTTTTCTTTTAAATAAGAGAACCATTCTTTTATTAAAAAGTTTACAATGCTTAATATGCTATGACCTATATTTCGGGGGAAGTCGTGGCCTAATGGTTAGAGTCGGACTCGTAACCCAAAGGTTGTGGGTTCGAGTCTCGTACCGGCAGGGATTGTAGGGGGGGGGAGTGAATGTACAGCGCTCTCTCCTACCTTCAATACCACGACTGAGGTGCCCTTGAGCAAGGCACCGAACCCCCAACTGCTCCCCGGGCGCCGCAGCATAAATGGCTGCCCACTGCTCCGGGTGTGTGTTCACGGTGTGTGTGTGTTCACTGCTGTGTGTGTGCACTTTGGATGGGATAAATGCAAAGCACTAATTCCAAGTATGGGTCACCATACTTGACCACATGTCACGTCACTTATTTGTCACTCACACTCACTTATATTTGAAAATAATATAGAAATTAGCTTGAAAAGTATTTTTTCTAACTTATCATTTATACCTTTTAAACATCTTTGTTTTATGAGTAATTATTCTGCATGCCTATATTTGCAATTTATGTAATTATAGCATGATGGTATAATTACAATTAATAAATGTTTAGAAGCCAACATTTCTGCTTTTATTTTGAATTGTGTATGCACTTGGATACTTAAGTATGCTTTCAAAGTGAGCTGAGTTGACTGTACTCAAAACTAGTTACTGGTTAACCACAGTAAAATGATGAGGCAGACTCCTGAGTGTTATTTACGCTGAGCTCCAAGGTTGTTTGATAAAATTGGTGTGGCAATGACATGTTTGCTTTGCGCTGGCAGCTCACATTAGTGATGCAAAAAAATGAGGCAACTCCTTGTGGTTTGTTTAAACAAGTATGAGAAAGATATGACTGACTATCTTCAGCAGAAATAAAGAATACTGAGGAACTCTGCTATTTGACAAAAGAAACCTTTCCACACCTATACTACACAAGAACATGGGTTGTACATCAAGATAGAAATGATTTATTTAGCCATAAAGATGAATAATTAAACACAGGAAAAAAAACAAGGAACAAGGAAGTCTTTCCTTTAAGAAAATGAGCAGACATAATAAATTAAACAGGCATACATAAGGTCTGCAGGGTGGTAATGAGCTCAATAACAATATGAAAACAATAAGAGCCAACAAAATATATTTTCTTCACCCTCTTGCAACTTACTATTAGGATTTGAACTTTAAAAGCTAGAACCTTTTCAGAATGACTGGCATGTTCTTTATTTAGCACATAAAAATGCACAAATTAAACAAGTTCTCACCGGTAGTATGGAAGATCTCGATCGGTTCGGGGAACATCTTTGTCAATGATGCGTATGGCCTCCTGAAGCTCTTCCAGGTCAAAGGTTACCCGTTCAAATAGCACCTGCACATTAAAGACAGCATGAAATCAACATGGATCTGACTTAACTTCATATGGTCTTCCTGGTCTTATTGTGAAAGTTTTTCTCTTTGTAATCTGCATGCATTTCTTTCTCCTGTGGAACACAAAACAAGATATTTTGCCAAACAGGTTCAGTTCTCATTGACTTCTATAGTACTTTTTGTCCATACTATGCAAGTCAATGGGAACCAAAACTGTTGGGTTACCAAAATATCTTCTTTTGTGTTCCACAGAAAAAAAGAAAGTCATACAGGTTTGGAAAAACATGACGGGGAGTAAATAATGAGAGAATGAACTATCCCTTTAAGCAGGTAGTTTTACCTGAGCCTGCAGTTGCAGAAAGGACATCTTCTCTCTGGCCTCTTCTGACTCATACTGCTGTTTTTTCTGCTCTCTGTCCTGCCTTAGGTCGAAAAACTTCACTGCTGTCAACAGTTCAGCTGGAGAAAAAAAACAGAAATAGAATTATTACATGTGGTTTAACATCACCACAACTTGTCAGTTACATATAGACCAGAGGTTTTCAATATCAAGGCTGAACATTTTATTGCAGGTAGTAAGAGCTGATAAGGGGCAACCGCTACATATTAAAAATGTTTGTTCTGCGCAGGAATATAATTTACCATCAGTGCCATTAAGACGCAGACGAACGGCTCCAGGAAGCAGCTGTTGCCACTTCCTCTTCATGACCTGATAGCGCACCGTCATCTGCTCCAGCAGTAGGGGGCGCTCCAGAGCCGTAGAGCTGCAGGGGTACATGCCAAACAGGAAACGCCATACCAGACCACGTTCGTCAGGCGACACGCCACCTGAATCACACAAACAGAACACAAATCACACATATGAAGATAATATACTAAGAACACATGGCTTGGGATGGGCTATTTCACAATGGACCCTTTTCACAGACTGTAACGACATGCTTACAGTTATTAACATCGTAAATCTCGTTTTTTATTTTGTATTTTTTCATTTTATATCTCAAATTAAACTTTATAACTTACAGAAAACTGGTTAATCCTGCTGCATTAGTGTTTCAAATACAATGGCTGAGGATTGTGGGTTTTTTTCTTTTGCTATTGGAGCAAATGTGAACTTAATTATATTTGATGTAGTTTTCGCTCACCACTATAGAAGTTTACCCAACTCTGACAACTACTTCTTCTGAGAACCCTGGAAATGTTAAAATGGTCGATGACAGTTCCTTTTTATTGACAAGTATACTGACTATTTTTGAGAGCTGTAATTTATAGGAAATTATAAAAATAATAATATAAAAGAAAAAGAAAGAATTTAATGCATTACAGAAAGAGAAAAATATTAATGATAAAATTAAATTATATTGCCTTTTTTTCTGTTGAAGTAAGCAGGGTTATTATAGTTAACTACAACCAAAACAATAAAAAATTGTTACTTGACAAAAAAAGAAACATGTAAACTATAAAATAAAAAGTAAAATATAAAACACTTTTTATTCCGGGCAAAATTTCTCATTTTAATTTAGTTTAATCATATTACCTAGGCCTACTAAAATAATAAAAAGTAAAACTGAAATAAACACATATACATATATATATATATATATATATATATATATATATATAGATGATAGATAGATAGATAGATAGATAGATAAACTACTAAAATTGACAAAAATCAAACAAAATACTAATATCAATACAAATTTACTAAAATATTAATTAAAATGAAAATGAAAATCTAATATGTAAAGAAACAAACTGATTCAAAATATTAGTACAAACTATGATCGTATCTTAACTTTTTCTAGAATATTGCTGAGAGCAAGCATATTGTTTTTATTATAATACTTTAAAAAAATCCCTTTAAAGCTGTTAACTGATAACTCGCTTACAAAGGAATGTCAATTGATTTTGTCAGTGTCCTTAAATACAACTGATTGGAAAGCCAATGCATTAGCATTAAATGGATAAACAGTTTAAACAAATGTATTGACTAAACAAACAGCGTCATCATTGTTAAGATACCAACATTTAATTGCATCACTTTAAAGGAATGTGTTACACCAGAGAGAAGAAGTCAAACCTCAGCGTCCGCATCACATTAGCATTAGCAATTCAGCATTTCACAATGAGCTGGCACAGTCCACACAGAACAAAACAACCTCTAATCCTCTTCTATATCAGCTTTATACCCTTTTTACAAAGCTGCTTATGTAATTTGCTCACTTTGCACAAATTTTCATGTCATTGAATAAGAGGAATGCGTTTTGGAGATGAGAGGCCTTCAGACGCACAGCTGAAAATAGACTGAGGGACTGTTGTTGAAGGTCTGTGCTGGAAAGTCGGTCCAGCTTTGAATCATGTCGTATGTGTTTAAACATTACTGATGTAGTCATGTTTACATCACACTCTTGTGCCACATGCTTGTGTTGTAAGTTTAGGGAGTGTTGCTGAATATTAAGCTTTAAATGTGAGTTGATCTCATGAACGCTAATAGGTGCAGATCTGAGTTACTTTAGAGACCCACTGAATGGATTACAACAAGGCCATCAAAAAAGTAAATAAATAAAATAAATAAATAATAAAACAAAATTTAATCACTTACTCAAAAAAAAAAAAAACCACAAACAGAGTGAGCCTCAGTGCCAGTGTTGCCAACTCATTTTCGGGGGAAGTTGCTAAAGGAAGGTTGATTTGTTGCCTAAAGTTGCTGAATGATGTTGTGATGACATTGCGTGATGATGTCATTACGTAATCACGATGCAAAATTGTGTCAAATCTCAGCAAAAACATATTTACATATATTATATATGTTCATTTAGATTTGTTCGTAGCAATATAAATGCATAATATAATATTAAAATATAAATAACTATTTTTAAATCCATTGAATTATCGAAAACGTACACATTTTTGAACGATTACAATTTAAGTTTTATACTTTAAGGCAGTTTATTTGTATGCTGCACTCTAAGAAATGTAGAAAAAATAATGCACAATCTACTGTGTTAATATGAAGGAATTTTCTGGATTGATTTTTCCACAGGTTTTTGTACCTGCATTTTTAATTACACATTGTATTTTGTGTTTTTGGGTTACAACGGATAACGGACAATGTCCTGGAAAATTACTAGCACCTTTTCCATTTTTCTGCATATTTTTTCTTACAGTGTACTGTAAGAAACAGTGTAACTCATCAACAATCAAGCTACTAACAAAGTGTCTCATAAATGAAAAATAACAGTATTCAATTATTATTACTATTAAACAATTGCAAATAGCAGCTAACTTAATTCCTGTAACGTGTGTACTGCTAGGCATCTTTGGTTTCCTCTTTTTTAGTGTAATTTAAATGGTAAATTGTGCCTTTTTATCGTTTGAGTCACTTATCAAAAGTTGCTTAAAGCTGCCAAATAAATTAAAAAAAATAGCTAAATTTGTTGCTAGGTGCTTTTGGAAGAAAAAGTTGCTAGGGTAGTCTGAAAAGTTGCTAAATTTAGCAACAAAATTGCTAAGTTGGCAACACTGCTCAGCGCGAGCTTGTATTCTGTATTCTGCTAACTTACTGCAATTCTCTCTGATGACACAGTAACTTACCGCGGGAAGAACAAATCTTCGGTCTGTCCAATGATTGTAAAGTCATTAGGTCCGTCAGACTGAAGATATTTTAGTGGTAATGAGACCAAAAATAATTAAGACCCATCGAATCCGAATTTAAGACATTTTAAGACTTTTTAAGGCCTTATATTAGGAAAACGTTATTTAAGACATTTTAAGACTTTTTAGGGACCCGCGGACACCTGCTTTAAATATTTAAAATTAAAATGTATTCACCTCCAGGCCATCCAAGATGTAGATTAGTTTCTTTCCTCATCTGAACAGATTTGGAGAAATTTAAAATTACATCACTTGCTCACAAGTAGACACTTTGCAGTGAATGGGTGCCGTCAGAATGAGAGTTCAAAACATCACAATAATACACAAGTAACCCACACGAATCCAGTCCATCAATTAATGACTTGTGAAGTCAAAAGCTGCGTGTTTGTATCAAACAAATCCATCATTAAGATGTTTTTAACTTCAAACCATTGCTTCCAGCTAAAATACAAGTCATAGTGAAAAATTCATCTTGTTTGAATCAGGAGAGAAATATACACAGATCAAGCACTGCTGTTTGGACACTCATTCTGACGGCACCCATTCACTGCAGAGGACCCACTGGTGAGCAAGCGATGCTATCTGTTTAGATAAAGAAACAAACTAATCTACATCTTGGATGGCCTGAGGGTGAGCTGCTAGTAGGGCTCTGGGATAGTCTAATTGCTCTAATAACTGACATGGCTAATTTGCAGATATCAGACTATTATTATTTGATACAAAAATTAAACACACCTGATAAAAGATCTACTACTCCAATGTGAAACTATGACAGCCGCTTGTGAAAGGTTGCCTCTATAGTCTTGTTTGACCCTGAAAGAGCATTGCATTCAACTACAACCATGCTGTCTGTTGTCACATCTTAAGTATGACTAATCCTGTTAGCATGAATCTTATGATTGTAGTTCAACACAGCACAGATTCTATAGCTTTCACTATTACTAAGAGGCCATTCTTCATCTGTTTGTTGAGAAACACATCACTTGACCAGCACTTGAAAAGAAGACGACCTTTGAGTGAGCCAGTAATTCCAGACAGTCATCCAGCTGTTTTATATGTTAAATACTTCCCTTTGAATATAATCAAATGTTAAATCGATTGCTAGAGATAACAGCATCAGTAAATACACAAACACATTTGTTTGTTTATAATACTAGGGATTTCCACTGACATCAACACTCACACAAGCCCTTCTGCATTTTTATTTTCACCAAGACATATTTAATATATGTATATTAAGCCATTTATCAAAATTTGGCACAAAAAGAAAAAAATAAGTTTCTCAGTTTGTAATCAATCTTTTAGGCATCAAGAAAGACATATGATTCTACTGGATCAACTAATTTTTTTTCATGATCTATACTTTAGGATCTTAAATAGAATCAGTAGAGGAACTGGCTTCAAATTTTTAATGTGAAAAAATCCCATATAATTCAAAATCTGTAACTCCGACTTAAAGATGCTGTTGTGAAAACTTAACCCACTACTGGATAAGCTTTAACATGTTGTGTTGAAATTATTGTAGTAAATTATGTCATCCCCCATCATCAGCTCCATCCATAATCAGTCAAGAAATGATTCTTTCTTACCTGAAAATTGTCCTGTAAATCTTTTATATGTACACATTATATTTGACCTACAACTTATACTGCACTGCAAAAAAAAATATTTTCTTACTTAGTATTTTTGTCTTGTTTTCTAGTATAAACAGTGTTGGGGAAAGTTACTTTTAAAAGCAATGCATACTTTGCATTACTCCATAAAAAAGTAACTAATTACGTTACTTGGTTGCTTTTTATGGAAAGTAATGCGTTACGTTACTTTTGCTTTACTTTTTAAATCTGGACAGGGCTTGCTTTTTTGTTTTTAAAATAAAAAAAGTTATATTTTTGGCAAATATAAAAGCATTTCACACCAAAAGTGAAATGAATAAGCCTCAGGCGGAAGGGAAAGTACATTTATGTCCGTACAGTAGAATGCAGAAGAAAAAATTTCACACTTCAGCAATAAAAAAAACACACAAATGTTTGTCTAGAGTCATTTTGGCTTATTCGTATGGTTGAACTGTATCATCGAAGGTCAGAAGCAAATAGAATGGGATTAAATACATAAAGGATATTTGTGTTGTTTAACATTTAATTATTGCAGGTTTGCGTCATATTCTGAGGTGCATTATTTTTATTCATTTTGAGGAATACTGAATCCGTGTTTTGTTTTTTTTGTGAGTGAGATGAATTCATGCGTATTCATATTTATTTTAAACTACAGTTACATCTGATTTCTCTCAGCATGGGGACAGGAGAGCTGTCAGTTAATAAATTGGGGAAACAAGTAACTTGCGTTACTTATTTGAAAAAGTAATTCAGATATCCTCTTGTAAATTAAAAAGTAATGCGTTACTTTACTAGTTACTTGAAAAAAGTAATCTGATTACGTAACTCGCGTTACTTGTAATGCGTTACCCCCAACACTGAGTATAAATATCTGAAAATTCTCGAATCAAGATGAATTAACTAATATTACAAGTAAAATGACTTAAGATATCATGTCTTGTTTTCTTTAAAAAAAAAAAAAATCTAAATTTGTGTTACTTTTTCCTTAAACAGAAATATCTGGCAATGGGGCAAGAAAAAATAATCTCCCCATTGGAAGATATTTTTGCTTGTTTTAAACAAAAAACTAACTTTTTTTTGAAAACAAGACTTAATATCTTAAGTCATTTTACTTGTCAAGTAAATGAAATATCTGGCAATGGGGCAAGAAAAAATAATCTCCCCATTGGAAGATATTTTTGCTTGTTTTAAACAAAAAACTAACTTTTTTTTAAAAACAAGACTTAATATCTTAAGTCATTTTACTTGTCAAGTAAATGCATCTTGATTCAAGATTGTTTTCATATTTTGCTTGAAAAGCAAGTCAAAAACACGAAGTAAGATTTTTTTTTTTTTTTGCAGTGTGTCACGTTAGGAGGCTGGTGGTCATGTTTAATAGTGATTCATTTCTAGTGTCTTAACCTGTTCAAACAATATGATTAAGTATTACCGTTTTTAAATATATGCATCCTGAGCCTAGATTCGTCCACTCGCCCCTCTGCGTCCATCACTCCCGGCAGCGAGATGCGCGCGCAGGCAGACTCAGGTGAGGTCACAGGTGCGACGCTGTTATTCCCCTTCATTCCCTTAAACTTCCCAACGGGTCCATTACTGTCCAGATGAGTTTTCCCTTTCCCTTCTACATGTGATTCATCACAAGATGCGATCATTTTGTTAAATCCTTTGAAAACTCTTTCTCTCAGGCATTGAAGTTGTCGTGAGGTCACGAGGCGATAAAATCCTCAGGTAAAAAGTCTTCGGTGGTGTTTTAGAAAGCTCATTTTAGACGTAGGAGAAAGTGTTTTGATAGTGAGCACACCCCTCCTCCTTGTCATATGACTCTCTCTCTCTCTCTCTCTCTCTCTCTCTCTCTCTC